TTGGACCCAAGCCGAGGTCTCGAGCTTCGTGGCGGGAGAGCTGGCCAACTACGCGACGTCTGCCTCCGTCAGCTCAAGCATTTCCTCGGCCCTGTCGAGCTATGACCCCAGCGGGGTCGTCGACAGCAAGATAATAACTGCTCTGCTGGACTTCTACACGCGGGCGGAGGTAGACCAGGAGATAGCCAACGCCCTGGGCAACGTGGATCTCTCGGGCTACTACGACCAGGCCCAGACGCAGAGCTACGTGGCGAACGAGCTGCTGGCATATTACCCCCGAACCGAGCTGGACTCCCTGCTCACGGCCACGCTCACCCAGTACCACCCAAACGGAGATCGACGATGCCATCGCCGGCGCGGGCTTCCAAACCCAGGCGGACGCAGATCTCCGCTACTTTGTGCGCGCTCCCGGCGCGGAGTCCGGACAGATCTTCAATCTCGTCCAAGAGCAATTCGTCCCCAGGATCGTCCGCAATTTGCTTTTGGAGGCGCCCCTGGTGGGCGACGCAATTCTGGGCAATCAAAGTACGCTGCGGCTCCGCTGCGACTCCTGGACCAAGGCCGAGGCGGACGGCCGCTTCCTGAGGACCAACGACCTCGGACCTTTGGATGCCCGCTACTTCGTCAACAGGTCCGGTGCAGAGGGCGGTGGGATCTTCAATTCAGTCCAGACCCAGTTCACCCCTCGCATCATCAGAAACCTTCTGTGCCAATCGCCCCTCTCCGCCCAGCCCATCCTGGGGAATGGGTCGACCCTCCAAATCAGCTGCGACTGCTGGAGCAAGGGACAGTCTGACACCCGCTACCCATTGATAGCCAACTTCAATTCGTTGGGCCAGCGCGTCACCGACCTGGAGAACAGCCCAGGAGTGGACCCCACGGCGGACCTCACCGTCAACAGCCTCACGGCCACAAGCTTCGTGCAGACACCACTGCTGCAGAGCGCTGCAGCCGATCTCCAAATCCGGAACGGCACCACCACCATCCGCGCCGAAGACGGCACATTGGTGGCCTCCTTCGCTGCCGGAAGCATCGGCTTGGAGCAAGACATCACCGTGCGCTCGGACCGCACTTTGAATGCAACCACGGCGGACGTCGCCCAGTTTTTCGTCGGCAGCACCGCAGCCACGGGGAGCTTTGCGAGCAGCAGCTCGGTGACGGCCACGCAGGAGATCACGAGCGACCTCAGGCTCGAGGCGCCCCTGGTGCGCTCTGATCCGGCGGCGCCCTGGCTCACCGTCCAGGGCGGCACCAATGGCATTCTGATGGACGACACCGTGCGGATCAACGGGGTGCTGGGCCCCGAGGCCAGCCTGCCCTTCCTGAGCTTGTCGGGGGGGACCAGCGGCGTGCAGGTGCTCAGCCCGCTGCTGGAGCAGATCGCGGTGGGGCCCACGGACGGCACTGTGGGAGTCGTGGTGCGCAACGCCGCGCCCACGGGAGATGCCAAGCTGCTCCTCGACGCCAACAACCAGGCGGGCGTGGCGGAGCTCAAGGTGCTGGCCGGCGGCAATTGCGAGCTCAACGCGCAGTTCCAGTTCATAAGTTTAAACACCACCAACGGCCTGGCCAACCTGGCGATCGAGCCCAACATCGGGGGCAGCAACGATGGAGAGGTCATTTTTGGTTATGGCTTCGTCAACCTGAGCGACCGGGCGCTCAAGGAGAACGTCCGGGCCATCCCGGAGGAGGAGCTCCAGCAAACCTTCGACGCCGTGGAGCCGCAGCTCTACGACCGCATCGACGGCGGCAAGGAGCAGATAGGCTTCGTGGCCCAGGACGTGCAAGCCAGCGGGAAGCTGGGAGCGACCATGTGCAAGACGAAGACTTTGGACGGTAGAGAGCTGATGGCTCTCGATTATCAGAAGCTCTCGGTGGTGCTGTGGGGCGTGGTCAAGAAGCTGCAGAAGCGGGTCGAAAAGCTCGAGAAGAAGAAGGGGCGCAAAGGCGACTCGGATTAGAAATGGCAGAGGACGGTGCGATGGAGCTTTTAGGGCGGCTCGCCCGCGACTTTAACGTGCGGGATCCCCGCAAGCTCTTTCAGATCGCCCGGCGGGAGTTCCCGGAGCGGCGGGACCTCACGAGTGCGCGGGCCGCGGCGGCATTGCGCAGCGACGTGGCGCGGCAGGTGCTCGCACCGAAGCCGCGGAGTCTGGGGAAGAGTGCGGCGGAGGGGCCGAACGACCGCCTGCAAGCGGACCTCATCGATTTCAGCCAGAACACTCGGGGAGCCAACAAATTTGGCTTGGTGGTGACGGATGTGTTCACACGGGAGGTGGCCACCAAGGCCCTGCCCGACAAGCGGGCCGAGACGGTCACCCGAGCGGCGGCGGAGATCATCCCCGACCTGGTCCAGGAAGAGGGCAACTACGTCGTCACCACGGATCAAGGGAACGAGTTTCGGGGCTTGGAGGCCGCCCTGCCCGGAGGCGCGGTGCACCGCCAGAAGGACCCGGCGGACAGGAACGCCACGGCGGTGATAGACCGCGCCATCCAGACTCTGAAGAAGGACCTGGCGGGCAAGGTGGCCCGCAGCGGCGGCGGCTGGGGGGACCACGTGGACGAGGTGGCGGAGGCTTACAACGCTCGGCCGCACGCGGCGGTCACGGTGGCGCCCGAGGACGTGGAGACCAAGCCGGCCGCCAGCTTCCGCGTCTACCAGGATAACGCGGAGAAGTTCCAGCACAACAAGGAGCTCACGGAGGGCCGGCAGCGGCGCCTCGAGGAGGCCGGCGCCTTCCGCGCTCCGACGAATGCGGCGCGAAGCTTCCAGCCACAGTACGGCCCCGCGAGGGACCTGGCGAGCTTCGACTCCATGACGGTCCGCGCCACGGACGGCAGCGAGACCCTGCTCAAGCACGCGCTGCCCGTGCCCCGGGGCAGCGGCGAGCCCGTGGCCCGTTTGACTCGGCGGCCGGAGCCCTTGGCCGTGCGCCAGCTCAGGGACTTCAACCGCCCACCCCCACCCCCACGACTGCTCACGTGACTTTTTCTCACGGGGGCGCGGCCTGTACGATCTGCCTTCGCCCGGCTCAGTCCTCGTCGCCCTCCAACTCCCGGTCGATGAGGCCACCCTTCAGGTGCTGATCCACCAGAACTTCCATGTACTCCCTCGCATCCTGCAGACTCCGCGGCGAGATATCAGGAGCCTCGCCCTCGAGCGGCAGCACAGGAGCGTCAGCGGGCCGCTCGGGCAGCGTGGCGTCGACCAGGTGGAGGTACTCGTCGGTCTCTGGGCGACACGAATACAGCCCCCAGAGGGCCGGCATCACGGGGCGCTCCAGGACCCAGCTGGCGCGCATTATGTCGCGCGTCTCGATCTCGTTGCAGACGCCCGCCAGGCGCCCGGCGCGCTGCAGCTGCATGCGCACCTCGAAGCGCCGGTGCGGCGGGACCGCGCCGCAGAGGAGGCACTGCAGGATGACCTCCGCCCAGGCGGCGTAGTCCCAGCAGCACTGCCAGGGGCGGCTGTACTGGAGCAGCGGCTGCGGCCGCTCCGTGAACTCCGCGTGCTGCGGAAAGTAAGTCTCGAAGAGCCACTTCAAGGTTAGTTCGCCGACTAAGGCGGCAGCCATTGGGTCGAAAGCTTACAGGCTACACTTGCACACGCGACTCTGAAACGGCTGCGGGGAGGGGGAGGGGTGATGCACCTGTGATGCACCTGTGATGCACCTGCGGCGGTGCATCATGCCTGTTTTGTGGGCAGGCCTGTGCGGTTCGCCTACCTACCAACCTACCTAGATCAGCCGGCTCACCACGCAACTGCCTTCCTGGAGCTCCTCCACCTTCCCCGGCAGCGGCTCGGCGGTGATCGCGTCCAGCAGCGCCATCTGCGTCACCACGTGGTCGCACCGGCACCGAGCCCCGCGCTCCCTGAGCACCGGCCGCAGCCGGCACTGCTCCATGGCGTGGCGGCGCCCCTGGGCCGGCGACATCCTTTCCGCGGTCATCTCCAGCGCGCGGATCTCGTGGGCCGGGCAGGTCACCCGCTCTTCCATGCAGCGAATGCATTCGGAGATGACGGCGTAGTGGAGCATGCGCTCGGCCATCCAGTACAGCTGCTGCCTGGACTCCAGCTGCATGTCGCGCCTGGCCAGCCAGTCCCGGGGCTGCAGGAAGCTGGCGATCTCGTCCAGGAGGCTCGAAGGCAGCCGCTGGAAACCCGACATGACGGCTGGGGTAGCGAAGCGAGCTGAAACGGCTGCGGGGGGTGATTCACCTGTGATGCACCTGTGGTGCACCTGCGGCGGTGCATCATGCCTGTTTTGCGGGCGGGCTGGCCTGTGCGATTCCTAACCCGCGGCGGGCCCTTTGGGCTCAGACGTCCATGAGGCGGCGCTGGTCCTCGAAGCTGACTTCCAGCTTCTCGTAGAATTTGCACGGAGCGGCCCCTTCAAGCCATTTGTAGTTGGCGATGTCGCGGTCCGAGCGCTCGGGGGCCGTCTCCACGCAGAACTTGATCGCGCGCAGCTTCAGAGCCTCGCGACGGGCAGCCTCCCTGGAGAGGGTCCCCAGGTAGATGCGAAGCACTCGGCAACCTCGCAGGCAGCTGAAGATGAAGCGGTCGTGAACCAGGCGGCGGAAGCGCTGCATGCGGGCGAGCCAGGCGTCCAGGCCAAGCCAGAGCGCGGGCTGCTCTCCAGGTTCCAGGTAGAACCTCCGCATGGCCCGGCTGGTGGCGCGAAGCGCGAGCACGTCCGACCCCATCTGCAAGCACGGGTGCTCGGGGGACTCTGCAGCGATCATGCGGCTCGCGATCATGTCCGCCTGCCGCGTCCGAATGTCGGGGCGAAGGCTGAGCTTCACGTCGAGGAGCCAATCCCGCGAGTACAAGTACTCCAGCAGGATGGGGCTCTCGAAGAACATGGCGACGACCGAAGGAAGCGGAGCGAGCGGAGCGAGCGGATGAGCAAAGAGGCTGCGCCGAGAACCTGTGGTGCACCTGTGGTGCACCTGTGGTGCACCTGTGGTGCACCTATAGCGGTCCTGGCTTTTTCCCCTCAGTAGGCGCGGGCCACGGCCCTCAGCTCCTCCGGCAGGTCGCAGAACAAGCAGAGGATCTCCAGGTCGCCGGCCGGCGGCGGCTCCGCCAGCGCCTCCAGCAACCGGCCGTGGCGCTCCACCACGTGCAGCCCGCAGTCCGGGTTGCCGGGGGGCCGGCTTTTCGAGCGGAAGATCTCGACCATGCGGCGGCACTCGTCCGCCGGCTCCCTGGAGGCGTGCTGTCCCTCATCGACCTCCAGGGCGATCAGCCCCCAGTCGCGCTCTACAGCGAAGTCCAGCAGCGCGTGGCCGCCGTGGCTGGAGCCATCCGTGAAATCTACGCGAAGCTGCGCACGGAAGGGCAGCTCCTCCCGGCGCAGCAGACGTTCCACGCACGCCTCCCGGCCGCTGCGGTACACGAAACCGCGGCGCTCGTGGATGGCAGCGTGGGCGCGGAGGTCCGCGGCTTTGTGGAAGCTCCGGCCGCACAGGCCGCAGCCGTGCGGCCGGACGTTTTCGTGGGCGAGCCTAACGTGCTCTCGGAGCCCCGAGGCGAAGCCGAAGCGCTTCTGGCAGTGGGGGCACGCGTGCTCCCGGCGGCCCTCGTGCACGGCAGCAATGTGATCCCGGAGCCGCGACGCCTGGGGGAAGCGCTTCCCGCAGCGCGGGCACTCCATGTCTCAGCCGAGGCTGCGGTGTTGCATCCCTGGAGGGGTTCGGGGGAAGGGGACCTACACTTACACTGCACTCGAAGACTTTTTGCGCCGCACTCTGTCCGTTGTTCGTCGGGGCGCTGCTTGCGGATCACATGTCGCAAAGGAGTGCGAGCACCTGGCTCAGGGGCACGTCCTGCCCGCCCTCGCAGCGGAGGGTCTTTGTGTTCGAATCGTACTGCTCGAAGGTAAGAAGATCCCCCCCCTCGACAATGTCCACATACTCTATGCCGTAAGGCGCGGGGTCGGCCTTGAGGAGCACCTCGAAGTCGCTGATGATCTCGCGCTGGCCGTCGCCCATCCACATGCCCCAAAAGCCGTTGAGCCGAGTGGCCCCGATGTCCAGCAGCATCGTGACCCGCGTCACCTTCGCGATGGTGCCATTCACATCGAAGGCCTTGCCGCTGCGCCGGTCCTCCACCATGTTCAAGACCACATTCTCGACGATCTGGGGCGTGCCCAGCTTGCGGCTGTCCTTGAAGAGATGCAAAGTGACCTCGAAGCAGAGCCCCTCCAGGACCTTCCCGGCGTGGTAGAGGTCGCCCAAAACCCGACCGAGGCATCCGTCCTTGATCTCGACGTCGAAGCCCTGCTCGCCGAAGATGCGGACGGTCTGGGCGGGCTCCTGGTCTGCGGGCTCGGCGTCCTGGATGGCAGGCAGCGGCTCGCGTCGAGCTGTCCTCAGAGTCCTCGGGCTTCTTCTCGGAAAAATGCTGAGGGGCTGGCTCCGCGGCAGGCTGCTCGAAGGTCAACTTCAGGCGCAGCTGAGCGCAGGTGCTCGGCACCTGGGAGCGGTTCTCCGGCTTCAACTGCATTCCATAGAAGGTACCCAAAGGGGGGCTCGTCGACTCAATGCACAAAACGATCTCCAACAGCTCGGGAAAGGCCTCGCCACCCCGCAGGTAGTCGAGCATCTTCTCGACTTCCTTGACAATGTAGTAGTCGGCCACCAGGTGGCTGCAGCGCACCCCGTGGACCAAAATCTCGCTTGTGAGCCGCGCTTAATGGCTCAGGGGAGGGTGGCTTGGGGGCCGGTGGCGCCGGTGGCGGCTGCACCGCGGGCGCTGCCTCTGCAGGCGCTGCCTCTGCGGGCTCCATGGCTGCCGGCTGGGCTGCTGGCTCGGCGGCCTCCTCGGTGCGTCGGCGCTTCGGCGACGGCTCCCCCGCAGCCAGCTGCTCGAACACACACGACGCGGGCATCAGGAGGCGGACCAAGAAATACCCCAAAGGCTCTTGCGTAACGGAATAGACAGTACATGCAAATCGCGGCCGTTATTTGGAAGAGTGGCCTTTCCGCGCACACAAATGGTCATATGTATGGGAATGGACAAAAGTATAGAAATAGTAACTTTTGTGTTGTAGAAGCTATGAAAAAAAGGAAGGCATGAGCAAAAGCTTTGATCGATGTATACGAACACACACAGACACACTGACACAGACACACGCACACACACACACACACAGAGGCACACACACACACACACACACACACACACACACACACACACACACACACACACACACACACACACACACACACACACACACACACACACACACACACACACACACACACACACACACACACACACACACACACACACACACACACACACACACACACACACACACACACACACACACACACACACACACACACACACACACACACACACACACACACACACACACACACACACACACACACACACACACACACACACACACACACACACACACCACACACACACAACACACACACACACACACACACACACACACACACACACACACACACACACACACACACACACACACACACACACACACACACACACACACACACACACACACACACACACACACACACCCACACACACACACACACACACACACACACACACACACACACACACACACACACACACACACACACACACACACACACACACACACACACACACACACACACACACACACACACACACACACACACACACACACACACACACACACACACACACACACACACACACACACACACACACACACACACACACACACACACACACACACACACACACACACACACACACACACACACACACACACACACACACACACACACACACACACACACACACACACACACACACACACACACACACACACACACACACACACACACCACACACACACCACACACACACACACACCACACACACACACACACACACACACACACACACACACACACACACACACACACACACACACACCACACACACACACACACACCACACACACCACACACACACACACACACACACACACACACACACACACACCACACACACACCACACACACACCACACACACACCACACACACACCCACACACACACACACACACCACACACACCACACACACACACACACACACACACACACACACACACACACACACACACACACACACACACACACACACACACACCACACACACACACACACACACACACCACACACACACACACACCACACACACACCACACACACACACACACACACACACACACACACACACACACACACACACACACACACACACACACACACACACACAAGTCGTACCTGCACGCACATGCCCGGCCCCCAAACCCCAGATCCCAGAGAGAGTCAGGGAGATCGTGAGCTCGAGAGATTGATCGATCCGGAAACGTTCTCGGTCGTTATAATGGGGTGTATATATACTAATCAATTTCTGGGTTACGGTTCGGGGGCTCAGGGCTCGATCGAAGCCGCGGGTTTGCATTAAGATTTGAATGGGCATAGATCATAGGTCGTTAACGTTGGAGCTCAAAGGTAAAACCCTTTGGAAGGAAATAGGGTTTGGGGCCGAGGGTTTGAGGTTCAGGAAGGTTTAGGCTCCGAGATGAGGGCTTGCAATTGGAGCCCACCGATTCGAGCTGCGATTTTTCCGCCACGCGGCAGCAGCTCAGCTCCCCGGCAGCATGCTTCGAGCTGCACTACTTTACTGCTTGCTGCTCGCCATGCCAAGCTAGCTATCCCAGCATCCTCATTCGCAGCTTGCGTCAAAACACATGCTGTCACACAGCGGCGCTTGCATCAAAACGCAGCTGCTCGCCGAATCGCACATCTACAGCTGCAGCCTCGTTTGCAGCCTGAGATCTAAATTACTTATTATTGCACTGCAAAACCCAAGGACCCAAAACGAACAAACCTCACAAGCTAGACTAGACGAATCGAATAATAGCCCAGTAGCCACAGAAAGTACCGTCGCAAAGAGCTCCTTTCGAGCGATCGTGCGTGGACTTTCTCAGCAATGCCTCGCGGGGGAAGTTGCATTTAAAAATATTGTCGTCCCAGCAGGCTACACATTATTTCTGCCAAGGCTCTGATGAAGTGCCCGTTAAAATCTTCGCTGGCAAATGTATGGTAGTATCTCCAATTGTAGCGCTCGCGAACGCAGTGATAGAGCAATTCGAGCATGCCCTAGGGAGTGAAGCGAGCAATAATTCGATCGAGGTATTGGAAGCAAGCTTTATGAATGCTAATCGCAACCAGGCTGCATGAAGTTTGGGTTTCACTGGAAAGTAAGGCCTCCCAGCCATTGCCGATAGCGAAGCGAGGTGGCCGTACTTCTGCAGCGATGTCTCCTGGGATTGCAGGCCACGTGGGTAAGTGAAAATCCGGGTATTCAGGTCCCTAGATTCATGATAGGTAGCATATTCAATTTGCAACCTGGCGTCGCCCAGAGCTTCGAACTTCTGCACATCGGACAGGCAAAGGTATCGTGGAGATACTTCGGAGTGGTCCATCATGCGAGCGAGCGAGAACCTGCAATAAGACCGTGCTATGCATATAGATCTAGGGGATGCTTTTTTGATCATTATCCAAGAAACGTACACTCAGCAATCGATGTCATGAGCTCATCCCCTGCATAGTCCGGCTTGTACAGCTGGAGGGCCGCAGTGTTGGCAATCCAGGCAATCATGACTCTTGCCTCGAATTCCAATCGAGGGATGATTGCTTATTTGGATATCCGGGACTCGAACTCGAATTCACGGTTCTAAAACCCCTACGTATAATTACAACAAAACTCCTGACCTGCAACCTCGCTGCGTTGTACGCCTTGCCAGTGAACTCGGTATCCCCATTTCGGGCCAGCATCTTCGGAAGAAACTTGGGTTGGGAACAGATGATTTTCCGATCATGACAGAAAGCCTTGAACTCGACAAAGGCGGCGTTGAGCTTCTCCGCCAGCGTGCCGCCGCCCCACACCTCCTGCGCCAGGGACGACATTCGTATATAATATATTACGATGCTTGGATGCACGAATCAGGGGGGTCCATGCTACAAGTTGCAAGGAACCTGCATAAGCCTTTATATTATGGGTTTTCCTAGATTGAAGCTTTAGTTTGGGGCTTGTGTTCAAGCCTTCTCAGCAAAGATCCTCATGCTGCCGGCGAGGGTCCACACCAGAACTCCTAAATTAATGGTGTGTAGCGAACACCACCGCAGCATAGCTGGGTGAAAGCCCTGCAGCCGAAGAAGTACGCCTTGTCGACATCGATGAGACAAAGCCCCGTGCAGTCGTGCGGAGGTTAGGGCTAGGGTTATATACTATAGTAATATAATATGTATGGGGTTCAAAAGCTATTGATTAAAAATACAAGTAGCACTTCTCACCGCAATCATCTGTCATCTTCGTGCACACGTGCTCGAAGTTGATAAGGTCGCGTCGGGGAATATCAGCCATCGAAGAAGGTTTTGGATCATCGAACATGTTCTTAAGGTTCACCTTGCAATGGTGGCAGAGCTGGTTGCTCGACCACCCCACTTTCACGAATCCAAACCATTCCTCAATTTGCAAGAAGCCGCATGGGTTCTATCATGGTTCAGGGTTGGGGTTTTAATTTACACATAGAGTCTCCTTTGTAGTTCCTTTTTTGGTTAACCAGTTTTATGGTTAGGATCCTATAATATATGTATTGGTTAACCAAACAAAGGAACTACAATGGAGACTACTGTTATGGGGCCCGGTTTGTTTCGAAACTCCTTGAAGAACTTCCAGTCACCGCGTAGCTCCGTGACGGCACACGGAGGGCACTTCAGAGGCGTCCCGGTTCCAGGCTCCATCCCAGCAAATAAAGCGTTCAAGCTTTCGACCACCTTAAGCTTGCATGCCGCGCCATTCTAGATCTAGATCGATCAGATAGTACAATTGGAGGTTCAGGGGCCCGGGTAGATTAAAGTCCTATATATAATTAATACAAGCTTACATATACTATAACCCCACGGATAATATCATAACCACCCCTGAACCTCCAAAAGTACACGTAATAGGCCACGTTGCGGGTCGCATGAAGGCTTGGATGGTAGAAAACCCAGTACTCAAAGCCTCGGGAAAGTACAGATCATGGAAAATCGATACGAGATATCGAGTGGCTGCTAGCCAAACAAATTAAACATCAGTATCAGCCAGGGAGCAACCCTCACGACAAACAAGGGCCAATGTGTTTCCATGCTTGAGGAGCGTTCGTCAAGGATTCCACCGAGGCATATGATTGTAAGTTTCTCCTCTTCCGAAAACTTGGTATCATCCCCATAAAGGAATAAAGGGCAATGTGGAGTGCCAGACCCGATGCTTTGGCGTAGTTCATAATGAGCCTCGCCCCACTCGAACCAGCGGCGACTGTGATCCCAGTACTTGCTGCATTCGTCCTCGTCAAAGACAAGATGCTGATAGCGATGGAGGTGGGCTATCAGCTGGTGCGGAAGCACCACCGGTAGGTTCCTGGATACGGGATGTGGTTGGGGGATATTAACTCGAATCTGATATTCATGAACTCATCTAGGGCATAGATCTGATGTAAACCCTAAACCCTAAACCCAGCGCGATCGAAGGACCGTAGAACCACAGTCTGATCGGTCACCGACTTGAACATCGGCACTTTCACAGTGCTGACGGGCACCTCACCACAGATTGGTTGAACTGTCCGGATCCATATAAAGTAATTGCACATTCACCGTTTATAAAGTTGCACCGAGGCACGAGGTCCATTGCCTTTGATATCGTTCTCATGCAATCACGCTCGATGTTTCCGGAACGTTGGCCTGTGTTGCCAGCCTTTCGGAGTTTTTCAGCTGTCGGCCGCAGGGTTGCCGACAAAGTTT